CTCTCAAGGACATCTACTTGCCACGAGATTATTATTCCGGGTAGGCATACTCTTGAAGATTGTGCTTTTTCTTTGTATGAATCTGGTGTGTATGCATGTAAGGGTTTGTCTTACAGTAGTTATAATCAAACTCATTTTAGGCCTTTTATTTCATACGCATGTAGTCTTTATATTTATGAAAATATTTTCTAAATTGTTACTTCTATGGCCTGCTCCTTTGTTCAATTATTTGGTTTCCAAACAACATACAATCAGTTTATCGAGTTTGGTTGTTTTTATTGGAAGTGTTGAAGACTGTCACCAATGAAGTAATAAGATTATCTAGTGGAAGACAAGAAGCAAGTAATTTGGTTGTTGTGTTGAAGACATTCAAGTAAGTTGTGATGACTTAATGTGTACATGAAGATTCGGTGGAAGGTGGGTTTGATTGAATACATTGAGAAGAAGTTCACAAGTCTTGAAGAATTTCATCTCAATTTTTTTCTTTGCCACGCAGAAGGTTAGCATGGTGACACTCACATTTGTTAGTGCTCTATGTTGTCTGTATATGTTTCTCGTCACTGGCAAATTTGTCTCGGGATTGATTGATGATTGTAATGATGCCCCTAGTCATCAAATTGTCGAACTTTGTACAATACATCTATTGTTAAACTTTGTATTTATGAACGGTATGTGATTGTGAGTGCAGAAAACCACGCGGCTTTGGGTTTGTTCAGTACATTGATCCTGCTGATGCTGCTGATGCAAAGTATGAATTAGATGGCCAAGTTCTATTGGGCCGTGAATTAACTGTTGTGTTTGCTGAGGAGAACAGGAAGAGACCTGAACAGATGAGAGCAAGAGACTCATCAAGGTTGCCATTTCTCGACTGCTCTAAACTCTCTACAAATATCTTCAAAATTTTCCCTATAACTTAGTGTTGTTCACATATGAAATTGTTATCAGGGGTCGGTCCTACAGTTACCGGCGTTCCCCACTGCAATATTCTCAATCACCGCCCCATGGTCGAAAATATTCACGTAGTCCTGAATATTATTCCCCTGCTCGGTCTAGACGATATTCAAGGTGGGCAGTTATACTGTAGTATTTTCAATAATGATCATTGGACCATTTAGGAAAAGAGAGGGTTGCGGGGTGGTCGATTCTAACCTTATTTTATATGATACAGGTCAATCTCGCCTAGGGACCAAATGCACAGGGAGCGATCCTACTCAAGGTCACCATATAATTCAAGGGACCGTGGCTATAGCAGAAGCCGAAGCCGAAGCAGGAGTCGGAGCTATAGCCGAAGTTATTCTAGGTGAGTAAAAAATACTTCCAAGTTGCAAAGTGGGTTAAGCTTAGTTAGCTGACTTTTCTAAAAACCCAGAAACTATTAAGGTAGAGAGATGTTTGGATTTCGGAAGTCTGTATATGATTTAGAAAATGCTTTGGTCTTTTCTTTTAGAGCCCACTGATTTCATGTTCTTATTTTAAAATGTATGGACCATGTTGTGGTTTTCTCTATTATGTAGAATGGAACCTTGGGAATTTTAGGCCCTTCTTTTTACCCCCAACACTTCTCTCCAATTTTGTGTCTTACTTCTAGTCTGGTCCTCAATGATTAAAGTGAATATAGTTTAGTGGACTTGACTTTGACCCGTTCAATTCAATTCAATTAGGTACTCGTCATCTATTTTCATCGTTCACAGAAAAAAACATGAACAAAGTCCTGCCTCCCCCTCTCTCTCTATCCATCCATCCATCCATCCATCCATCCAAGGGGTGTTCTTTGGTTGGTTGGTGTCTCCTCGAGTCGAGAACCTCTCATGCCTTTCTTCGTTCACGGTGCTTGTGGCTATGATATGGTAGGAGAGGTCTTGTGGATGATTAAAAGGATTGATTTCTTTTGAAAAACATTAAAATTTTACACGTGGATGTAAACGACGGCCCAGCGGCTCAAACCTGAACGTCGACGTAAATAAAAAAAAAAGAGGGTCCACCGGAATTAAAATTTGTGGCAGAGAAAAAGGCAATGAAATGGTTACACGTGGATGTAAAATTAATAATATCGTTGGGATTAAAAAAAAAAGGTAAATTCGGAAATCAGCCCATCATCATAGGATCGGAAAACGTATCCAAACAGTACAAATCAAACGTGAGAGAAAACGACTTTGCTAATTAAATTGTGCCTTTCTTTGGATTGTATTTCAATAATTTTCTTTTTCTTTTTCTTTTATTTAGAATCATTTGTCACGTCATCGATTCATTATGTAGGGTCCACCAGTTTACAAACCACTTCAAATTTTACTATTTATTTTGTCTTCCCATTTGAAACATCAATTTAATTCCATTTTAATGTTTTTTTTTTTATTTTTATCCAAAATTTTATTGAAAGAACATTTGCCCTTATTATTATTATCATTGTTCTCTTCAAATTATATTTATAAAATAATCATAACATAAATCATGTGGAATTTTTCTTCTCCCAACACTATTTTTAATAATTATGAAATCAAATAAATAATAAAAAAGAATCTAATTTCATGGAATTTTAATTGTAAGGAAATGTAAGCTTTTTATATTATTTAATTTTTAAAAATTGAGAAACAAAGCTTTGAAGTAAGATGGTCATCATGTCCCAAAAGTGATTTCTACGGAATAAAGCTGTAAAGAAGTGGTTTGTAACATACATATATATATATATAGTACTTTCTAGATTCCACTTGCAAAGTAAAGTAACTTCAACCCACACTAACAAATATAGTTAGTTTAATAAGTTCAATTATAAAATTTTAGTTTACTGAGAATATGTGTCAATTTCATCAAATTTAAATATTTTTAACAAAACCGTTGAAAAATATTAGCGGTGATTCAGTTTTTTCACCTAATGCTTCAAATGCTCTAAGTCAAGGTTTTCGCGCTCGGGTTTGAATTATATAGTCTCGTACACATGATCACTGATTTTTTCTTGCCTCGTTTTAGCCTTAGTATCGTATATTAAGTATAGTAAGACACCAAAACTAGAAACGAAATTTTTATGTACGTTTTAATGAATACTCATTCGAGAAGCGAAAAAAATTATTGATAGTACCTCTGTAAAACAATGATCTACAATGGCTATATCAAACAAAACTTTAAATTTTATATTTAATAAATTCTTAAAGTTAAATATTTAAATTTTAGATTTTTTTTTTTTAGCTCTACCCATTAAACTTAAAATTTTATGCATTTAACTTATTTAATATTATTTTCTATATATATATATATATATATATATATATATATATATATATATATTCTTTTTTTTTTTTCTTTTCAAAAAGGTTAAATGTATAATTTAGTCCTTTGTTGAGTATTTTTTAAATTTGTCCATACTCATCACGTGAGCCCGCGTTACAACAATGATGCTGTCAAATTTAAAAAACTACTGTTAAGAAAAAAAAGTTAATATGTGGGGTAACGGTAAAATATAATATTAACATTTTTAATAGGTTAAATTTCTAGGATAAAACAACCTTTCCACACTTAGATTAGGTAAAAAAAATATTTTTTTAACTAGCCTCATGTGAAGTAGATCAGTTCTTTAACTCAATTTTCAATCAAACCCACCTGCTAACATATTATAGTAACTTATGCTAACATATTATAGTAACTTCTGTGAGTTGGACATCGTGATACCCAAATATTAAGAACAAGTAGAGCCGAGCACACATTTAAACAAGAACGATTAAAACAATAGATAGTTATTGTATATACCAACAAGATGCACCTTTCTTTTTACATATAATACCAATTTTTGTGATTGGACAGTGCGACACCCGGGCATAAAAGAAGAGTTTGTCAATGAGCCAATATCACATCTTTAACATATAATAGTTGAAAAAATACTTAAAAGAATGGATATTTACTATCTATACCAATAAAAATGTACAGATTTTTTTGAGTGACTTAGAACGACTCTCTATCAAATTCCTAATACCGACAGGAAACGTATTACTTTCAAATTTTATAAGTCATTTACCTCTACGAGTATAGGTCAGGAGTCATGTTGGGGGAGAAAAGAATATAAAACTAGCCTTTTAAGACATAGTGTGAAAACAATTTAAAATAAAAATAGCATGGACCCTATACAATAAAGTAATATATCAATTAATATATGATTGAATATAATATATATATATACTAAACTATGTTTTTTTTAATACAAATGTAAAAAAAAAAACGTAAATAAATATGAGATGACAATAAATATGGTTTAATTTTTATATTTTTGTGAGTTTGAGATCTAATTTCAGATAAATTTATTTTTTATTTCACTTAAAATATTGATTTTTTCAATATTAATTCAATTTAATCCTTATAGTTTATGTATTTTTAGCTTTTGGAATATTGTAGTTTTATTTTTTTTATTTTTTATTTTTGTGAATTTACTTTACAAAAATCAAAATAGCACACTCAAAACAAATCTTGAAACATTACAATAGCTTTATTAAAGGGTTATTTCTCCAGTAAAAAAAAACGTGCAAGTATAAATATCAAAATTCACATAATAAAAAAGAGTAATAAAATAATAAATCTTTCAGTTTATTCTCGTCTTTGTATTTTTAAAATGTTTTGTATCTATTTGATTATGTTTCATTCATTTGGTTAAAAAAAATTGTTTTAATCGACCAATATATTACAAATAATAATAATAACAAAAATTATCATTTTTTAATATAAAATATTTAAATAGATATTTTATAAATATGTGATCAAATTCTTTTTTTGTTTAATTGTGGTTAAATTATAATTTTATTTATTATTTATAAAATATTAGAAATGAAATTAAGAAGACTAAATTTGTAATTTAATTTGGATATAGTGTTAATTAATTAATTCGAATTTAAAAAAGAAAATGGAGAGGGAAACACGCGCGAGACGGCGCAAGTGGGGGAAAAAGAAGAGAACGAGCGAGGGGAGGTCGCTATTAAAGCAGTCGTACATAAAAGCTTCGGACGCTTCCTTTCTCTCTCTCACTCTCTTCTCTCTGCTTCTTCCAAATTGCAATTTCAAGGATGAATCGCCTCGCGCCGTTATCGGAGGAGCCGATCGACGAAACTGACGGCCGGACACGGCATCGCAACCGCAGCACCGCCGCCGGCAGCAGAGGCGGAGGACGATCGTGGCGGAACTGGATCAGAACTCATCTTTCGATCCTTTATTGTGGAAAAAAGTCCGATAGCCTTAATGTCCTTCTCAGCGTCCTCGGCTGCCCTCTCTTTCCCGTCTCCGTTCAACCTAACACTATCGTTTCCTCAACCAATCAGGTATTTCAGCTTTTTTTTTTTTTTTAATTTTTTTAATTTTTTTAAATATTTTTAGAAGAAAATAAATTAGGTGAAACACGTTGGATGATGAAAGTCCGGCTAATTTAGGGAGTATCATGGCTTTATAATCAAGTAATATCATACTATTGTGAGAGTCTGATCTGTTTGTTAGGATCAAAGTAAACACCAAAAATATATATATATATATATGCATCAATTTTTTTATTTTTTATTTTTGGATTTATGTTAAATTATAAATTTAGATTTTTTTATGACCTTCTTTTTACTCATTTTATGTTTTTTTTTACTATTTTTAAATGGGAAAAATGCTTACATTTTTAGATTAATTCAAAATAAAAATTAATTTTTAAAAGTATTTCGAAACTTACTTGAACTTGAGAACTCTATACTTAATTTAATTAAAATAAAATAATTATGAAACAAATCTTTTTAACTATTTTATTTAATTAATTCTTAAAATTTTAAATTTTCCAAATATGTCTTTCAATTTACATAATTTATTTCTATATTATAATTAAATTAGTGAAGTTATTAAATAAATTTGGAGTGGATTTATAAAATGTGACCCATTAAATGGACGAATATGTACGGTTTTTTAGGTTTAAATATAGAATTAAAAGTTTTATGGCCCTAAATTGATTGAATAAATTGCAACAAACTTGTGTTTTAAGCTAGAATGTCCAAATTTCATGTTTAATGCAATTATATATTTTTTTAATTATAAGAATATTTAGAAATATATATTTAAATATTTAAATATGATCAAAATATTATAATTTAGAGATATTATCATAATTAATCAAATTATTTTTTTTTAACAGGTTTCATCGTCGTCTCAGTATATTATAGAACATTTTATCGCTGCGACGGGGTGTCGGAAATTGAAAGGGAGGGTGAAGAATATATTTGTGACGGGAAAACTAACAATGGGGATGGTGGATGAGGTTAACTCCGGCGGCGGAGGACCCACGGTTGGAGTGGCACAAAAAGGTTGCTTTGTGATGTGGCAAATGATTCCTAACAAGTGGCTGATAGAGCTGGCTGTGGGAGGCCACAGCATTGTGGCCGGCAGCGATGGCAACGTCGCTTGGAGGCACACGCCTTGGCTTGGTTCTCATGCCGCCAAGGGCGCCGTCCGCCCTCTCCGCCGTGCTTTTCAGGCAAGCCTTTTCAATGTTCAATTCCATTTATGTCTTATTATTTCACCTATTTAATGATTTGATTTTTAAAATTAGTTTTAATTTTTTTTTTACATTTTTAAATTTGTTATGAAATTGATGACAAAACAAAGAAATCTGCATATAAAACTAGTAGTTGTAACTTTAATTTTTAAAAATATATATTAAAAAATCAAGTATAAGGTTTAATTTTTTTCAATTAAATCTAAATTTAGTTTTGAAAATTTAAATATGGTATTTTATAGATTATTGTCTTTAAATTTTATAAATTAATTTTTTTAAAAATATCTTATAATGTATATTGAAGAAAGATATAAATATGATATTTAAGGAAATATAGAGACGAAATCAATATACTTTTGAATATAACATTATAAATTATAAATTATAAATTTAAGGTCGAGATTTTAACTACTTTAAGACTAAAGAAAGATACATTACGTACCAAATTATACTCGTGTTGTCATTGTTGGATGATGAAAGTCACACATCAACTAATTTAGGGAATGATCATGAGTGGTACGAGGCATTTTGGGGAAACCCAAAACAAAGTCACGACGACTTATGCTCAAAGTAAACAATATAATACAATTATGGAGATTTGTGTTCATCTAACAATCAGAAGTGAGTTTATAGATCTCTTTTTATAGATGTGGTAGGCCTATTAATTTAGCCCCACCCTATATATGTGTGTGTGAAGGGTACCCTAGAATGATGTTGAGACCCTACCATTTGTGGAAGACCAAAAAGTTGTTTAAATTATTAAAGCTTTTTACTTGAGTGCTTGAATAGAGAAGAGCTATAACCTATCTTTCTTCACACATTTCAAAGTCTAATCCTACGCCCATCCCTTGGGAATTACGACTTTCATTTAACCAAATNTGGAAGATGGATTTATTAGTTTTTTTTTTTTTTTTTTTTTTTTTTTTTTTTTTTTTTTTTTTGCAAGTTGCAATGTAAAATAAATTTTCAATAAATATTTGATTTTCTATTTTCGTTTTTAATATATATTTTTTTTTTCAAAAGAAAAAGTCCAAAGAAGATCACGTATGTTAGTGGTAGACTTGGGTTATGACAGTTACAAATGGTATTAGAGTTTGTCATTCACAATATGTAAGTGATAAATCATGTGTATAATAATTAATAATTCAATTATTTGTTTTAAAAAAATAATAATATGTTGGAAGATGTTGAGTTTTTTTTTTTTTTTTTTAACTAAAAAAATCTATGTGGGAAGATGTTGGCTTTGACTTATGTTATGCCACGCTTTTAAACAGGGACTTGATCCGCTAGCAATTTCTGAAGTGTTCTCTCCAGCACAGTACATGGGAGAAAAGCAAATCATGGCCGTTGATTGTTTCGTCTTAAAATTGTCAGCAGATCAGACGGACCTCGTCGATCGAAGCGACAACACAGCCGAGATGATCAAGCACGTGATCTACGGCTACTTCTGTCAACGACGTGGACTTTTAGTATACTTGGAAGATTCCTCGTTGACTCGGATTCAATCCCCTGGTTCTCACCCAATGTATTGGGAAACGACTATGTCCACAAAAATTGACGATTATCGATCGATTGACGGTGTAATGATTGCTCACTATGGTGAGACCAACGTCGTCATCACACGATTTGGAGACGATCTTAAAACTGGTCCTATGATCACACGTATGCAGGAGAACTGGAATATTGATGATGTGGCGTTTAATGTTCCTGGATTGTCGATGGATAGTTTTATCCCGCCAAAGCAAATTCAAAATGATCAAACAAATGAAAGGTTGGGATTGGACGACACCGCTCGATAATCCAATGGTAAAAGCCTTTACTTATTAAAGAAATTTTCCTCTATTTTCATCTTAAATAGCAAGTTTAATGACGTTTTCTTAACCTAAATATTAACATGATACAACATTTGGCTAAACTTGAGTTTGTAACTGTAAATATTGTAATTCTCTCGTATCTAAATATCATTTCGAACCATGTCCTTTTAGTTTTTATTTATTATCTCTATATTTTTTTTTAAAAAAATTGATTTTCATATGTATATTTATAAAATAGTGGATTTTGTTCATTCCATTATTGTTTATCTCATTTTTTAATCATAATAACAAAAATTAAAATGAAAAAAAAAAATTGGAGAATAATGAATACTCTTATTCATTATATTTCAATATTTGTTTCTAATAATACATTAACTTTTTTATTTAAAAAAAAAATGTTATACACGTGTAAAATTTACAAATTAATAATTTTGAAACAATTTTTTTAATGCAATATTTAAATGAAAATAGTGGATATAACCCTCTAAGTTTGGAGCATAAATTGATTTTTTTTATTTTAAAATAAAAGGCTAAATTTTAATTTAAAATAATAATTAAAAAAAAACACTTGGACAGTTGGATAAAATGCAACGTAATATTTGGCAAGTTTAGGGGTAAAAACGGGAAAAGAAAATAATTTCCGCCTTAAATTAATTAATTCCAAGCCTGACAAAATTGGACCATTAATGCGAACAGGCCCAGTGGAAATTCGGCCGATGAGCCCAAGTAGGCCCAAATCCAACTATTTTGTCTCTAATTCCTCTCTCTCTCTCTCTTGAGTACGCAGTAGAGAGAGAAATGACGTCGTCTTCGTTGGCGCGTCACCGCCGTTGGATTTCCCAGTTCAAAGTCGCGTACTCTCAAACCAAGCCATTTCCCTCTCCGCCTTCGATCTCCTCCACCGCTGGACGCCACAACGCTGATTCCGACGTCCCCAGCGGTCCGCCTCCGATACGAGTTTCGCTCACCGGTTCTGCCGGTCGTGGTGTATTCGCCACTCGCAAGATCGGCGCTGGAGATCTCATACACACAGCCAAGCCACTTGTCGCTCATCCTTTGCTATCTTCTGTTCACCATGTGTGCAATTTCTGCTTGAGGAAGCTGCAGAGAAATGCTAATGCTAACGCCGATGCTCATCGTGCAACGTTTTGCTGCAAAGAGTGTGAACGACATTCCAAGGTATCAATACGATATAATCTCTCGTTCTTTGATTAGTATGTTTTATGTTAGGTTAATCCGTTTTAGAAACTGTTTGATTTTTGATCTGTCTTGTGAAATCTCTAGCCGTTCTTACATGAATTAGTTTTTACCTGCGTATTTTAGTGTTAGGTGGTTCGAATCCTTCGATAAAATCGAACTTATGAACTTATTAAGACTAAACTGAACGTATAATTCTTTCTTTAGTTTAAATTGTCGCAGTACCTTCTTTATTCAGAAGATTTCGATTTTTGTCCGTTGTCCGCCATATGTTTGTTGTTTTGCTTCTGAAAGAACTTATTCTGCTAATCACACCTTCATTTCATTTCGATTGATGTAAAAGCTGATGGAAATGTGGAAATAAGAACTTTGATATAAAAAAAAATAGTAGTTCTGGAATAAATTTGATTTTAGTATCTAAATTTCTAGATTCTACATGATCGTCCAAAAGATTCGAGGTATAAAATGTTGAATGTCTAATCGTTTCCTTAGGTTATATATTTGACGTATCTTAATTTCAAAAGGATTAGTGCTTTTAAAAATCTAAATTTGAAATCAAGCAATACTTTTCAGTGTATTAGTTGTATAAATTATTTCTATTGTTCATTTCGATCAATTTGTTTAAATGTAATGAAGAACAGTATATCGTTAACAACAATAAATTATACATCTTTCAAATATTTTGAATTATAATGAACTGAAGTTGGAGAACTGTAATTCATCTTTGTCTTCTTTTATTATCTACACCATACATACTATCTTGTCCTAGAAATCAAATTTTTCCTAGGGAAGCATAAATTACAGTATTTTTTTTCTGTCTAGGATTTTCTCGCCATAATTTAGTATCTGATTTTTGGAGTGAAAGAAATCTAGTTATTCTGTTAGGTTTTTCATGATGTCGAAATGCAAGCAGATTGGTCAGACTTCGACAAGAATTGCAGGTGCATTCAATTTTCGATCATTTATGTCACCAATTAATTCAATGTTACCCACGGTACATACATGCACACAAAAGTCTATGCTTTATTGTAGTCGGTACAATTATGATTAATTTGGAGTATCTGAAAAGAAAGCAAAAGATTTTTATTTTTAAGGCTTGATGATGTGATTGATTTGTGGTGTGGGCATGGAGTGTCCTCTTTAGTTTTATAGGCTTGACTTTCCAGTTGCATTGCTTATTTGTCTGTTTTTCTTTATCAAGTCGGACTCTTTGTCCTATTTCTGCTTTTTTCTTTTTCTTTTTGGTTATTTGTTTCTTTAGGGTAAAAGGGACGTTTTACTGTCACATTGGTAGATCTTTCTCAAGTCTATAATTTTACTGCACCTACTTTTTTTTTTGTTGGCCCCCAAAACCATGTCGGTGATTTTCTCTCCTCTTCTATTCTCTAGCTTCCCCTTTCAGTATTGGATGGCCAAATAAAATGTGCGTTAAGAATAATAGTCGAGGTATATTTAAAAGAATGTCCAAGATTAGAGGTTTGAATCACCGGCTTCACATGTTATTGAACTCAAAAAAGAACCAATGTCAGTTTCATGGACAGATATGCAATGATTAGGAGACTATAATCTACAAAATTAGTAATCCTTCCACAAAAAGAACGAAGAGTTATTCCAAGACGAAGCTTTCCATGTTTATTTCTGAACCGAACTCAATTCTTTATATGTTAAACTACTGTCATCAGAATTTTGTGGAGCATTCATGGAATAATTTTGTACACGGGTATCTCTATAAACCAATCAAGAGAAAACTACAAGCAACAAAATTAGTAATTAGCATGTAAATACAGGCTGTTTTCTTTTTAATTCCATATTTGATTTGTTTTCTCCTTTTTGATCTTCTAGATTTTCGAGCAATAAAACGCCTTGTATAGTGATATTTCTCTCTAATATACCAAGAAAATTAAACATGCAAAGGTAGAAAATCTCAACAAATTAATTAATATCCTGATAAACACGCACATGGCTTTCAATGTTCCTTCAACATGAAAAACTAGTTTGTAGTCGTACATCTAACTTGCCAGGTTGTTTGTGTTCATCTCTTTGTCAAGGGAGCGAGGCTTAAAATATCCTCTTTTGGTGAAGCGATTGGCTTGTATGGTCATATCTGGAGCTATATCTTCTGACCTTCTTGACATACTTCAGCCTTCTAGTTTGTCTCCTCATATGGTTACGGAGGTAAGATACTTCACTATTTTGATAATGTCATTTTGGATAAGCTATGATGATGGCCTCTGGTCGATCTCCAGCAGAGAGTACAAAATTTTGCCGTTATTACATTTAGGTTTATTTTGAAAGCGTTCTATTACATGAACGAACTGGCTATTCATATTTCACCTCATATGCTTGCAACTTTTTCATTTTTAGCTTTGTAGGTTTAAGCTAGCGATCCATATTGTTTTAGTTCATTGAACTTTCAGCTAGAACTTTGATGGTATTCTTTGGCAAGCTCGATTTTGTTAGGGACTAATTTAAGTTTGCATTGAATTTTAAGTATGCATATATTTTCCAGTAGGAAGGAAGTCTGCAATATTATCAACAATTACTAAAAAAGGTCTTGAAACAAGTCTTATATAAGAACTATATCACAGTCACAGGAACCCCATTTATAAGTGCCTCCAATCATAATCAATCAAAAAGATGAAAATATATTTTCTACCACTGAAATAGCGAGGCTCAATTTGAAGCATTAAACTAAACTCCACCTCTCAATTGATTAGAAATTTATCTTCAAGCAAATGCTGTTTCATTGCAACCAATTGTGTCCAAGGGATGGCTAGTGTTTAGCACCCCACCTGCCATATAATCTTCCTTTATATATATATATATATATATATATATTCCATGTCAATGATAGTCTATCTCTTATTTACTTATTTATTTATTTATAAGTAAATAAAATAGATGTATATATTTTGTTTGAATTCTCGAATTACTATGTGAACACAGTTTTATTCATCTAAAAACTACAGTTAAAAGAAGGTTACAGCCTGCTGAGAAAAGCATTGGTCAAATCAAGCATCACAGACGAACAATTGCTCTGTATCCTACTACATGCTGGCAAAGATTTGTGACAATATTTCTTGTCATGCTATTCTTTCTTCTTCTTCTTGTTAACTTACATATTCCAAGTTCTAACTCAAGAATGGTACACTGGAGTTCTCGCACGAATTCGTATTAATGCCTTTCGAATCGAATTGGTTGGAGGGTATGAGGATCTTCTTTCTCTTGCAGCAGCCTGTGTTGAAGCAGAAGCTGCTGTCGGGAATGCTGTTTACATGCTACCATCTTTCTATAATCACAACTGTGGTCAGTGCCCTTAACTTTTGCTTGCATGATTGCATCTTTTTTCGAATTCCACTTTTTACCCTCATGTTTAGTTCTTTTTTCCTGAGCATTGTCTTTTTAGTTGAAACATAAAAATGCATCCGAGCTTTGAATTCATTAGTAGATGTCGATTACTGTTTAATGTTTGGAAAGATAACAGATTATGTAATGGTATTTGGGACATTAGGAATGTGTATATAATACGGGACAGAAAATTATATGTTAGCTAAGTACAATATCATGGCTGTGTCCATTGCAGATCCAAATACACACATTATATGGATAAACAATGCAAACGCAAGATTGAAGGCCCTCCGTGATGTTGAGCCCGGTAAGTTTGAATTTAATGTCTCTTTGACGTTATTTGTATTGTGGAAATAAAAGACATGGAGTAGTCTGCTTTTTGATTTATCATAAACCTATCAAATCTCTGCAACCATGGCTGGATAAGCTCGTTTTCATGTTAAAAGAAAGTAACAACTATGGTATAACTACAGATGAAGAGCTACGGATCTGCTATATCGACGCAAGTATGGATCATGAGGCTCGGCAAACCCTGCTATACCAGGGGTTTGGTTTTATTTGCAACTGCACCCGGTGTTCGTCTGGTGATTAAGTGAGATTATTCTCATATCTATAACTCTTTTCATATATAAAATGCTGATTTGAAACGACATTATTAACTCAAGTATATTAGACATTGATGAATATGGCTCTCTGGTTCGGCTTCTCTACAATACTAATGGATCGTGGAGAAGAATCAAGCCTGATTCCATTGAGTTGATGTTGAACGTTGTTTGCAAGATTAATTAGTTACAAACTTCTTAAAAGCATAGTGTTTTCTGTTCACAAATTGTGAACCTAAACACCAATTGCTCCTTTTATTGTTTTCTTCGTAGCACTATTTTATCACTTCTTAACAGAAGTTACGAAATTTGTCGGGAAAATGTTTTTAGGCGAAGAATAGATGTTTTTATTCCTTGCATGGTTTGACAAAAGTTCTTGAAGTTTTTACCAGAAAATACTCCCAAAGGTACCCTACTTAATGGCCAAAATTTGCAGATTAAAACACTTTACCTCATCAAAAGGGGAAAAAAATTGCACCTAAGAACTGCACATCTCATGATTGAGGGAAAAAGAGGAAAAATGAATGGTTAATGTAAGAGAATTTTACAGTTTACCCAAATGGGTCCGGTTATCGTGTTTATAGTCCAGTTAAAAGAAAAACATTTATTTTAAACAACAATTCCAACACATTTACTAAATAATGTGCTTATATTCGGTTTGTTCACTTACCTGAACAGAATAACGAACAAAGTTTCAACGGATTGGTAACATTGGATTAGATGGAATCTATCGAATTTCTATATATATAACCATCAAAATATACTTCGACTCGGTCATCAAATTCTAGAACCATAGAACATGGTTTAGCCCTCCTTTCACCAATTGCACCACAAATACCTTAACCACTCAACTACCCCAAAGCTGACACATCCTTAACCAATGTAAATAAGAGAACTCTAAACAGTCTAGTTATTTCTTCCATCATATTCCTCAAAAAGCTGTTAATCCTACTCTAATACTTCTGCACAATACATTAAATCCAGGCGCATTAAAATATCAAAGCTTCTTATTTCAAAACTTTGTCATGTACTTAGTAGGGCATTTCACAATCTTCTCTCGTACATTACACTAGTCGTCCATCAACCCGACTACATGCATATTTATCTCTCATTCTCACCCTCTAAGCAAAAGGGGAAAAAAAGACTGATTAGAGAAAATATAATTGCTGCAAAGGTCATTTAGGCATCTCTCTTTTAGAAAGGGGCTCTACAGAGGGAGGGGTAAGGTTTGTGCATTTGTGCCCAGGTTACGAAATTGGTATTGAAGAGTGATAGGAAAGAAGCAAAAGTGGTGTATAATGCAAAGGGATTAAGGCATGAGATTGAAGAAAAAAAAAACTTTTACTATGAGATGAAGAGGGTACCACAAATACAAACGCAGATCATAGTGACGATGAGATCTCATGTGGAGATACCTGTGGACATTGAACACCGCATGATCCGCCACTATTCCCCTACTATATTCAATTTACTTTCTCAACAAACACAAACTTTTCTTTCTTCTGCATCTTTGCTACGATGCTTTTCTTCCACGCCTGAACTACAAACAACCCATAATTAATTTTACTTTCAGATTGCCTTTTCCCGTAATGAAATGTAAGATAGAATAAAGAAGATAAGCAAGACAATAACTAATGGTTAGACGATGTAGGAAGGAGGAGTTACCTACACTATGCGTGGTTAACGTCTAGATCGAGATTTGCACCGAAACTCGGCAAGGAGTGCTGTATGATCGGAGGACCATATTGGGGATGGAAGTGCTGTATCTTTCCTCAAGCTCTCCTCATCCAGGAGCTCTAACAAAGACTCCACTGTTAAAGTGTCCGCTGGAGAAACAGTGATAAATTTCCATTAAAAAAATCATCCCAGTTGAATAAAATGAATTAAAAAAAAAAAAGAACAGAAGTCTGTAGGCAGAGATATACCTGTGTAGAAAATGTAGTCCAGGGTTCCAATAAAATCTCTAGTACAATTCGTAAATAAGGGTTCATTTGTTGTAGGATCCAGCCTTTTCCTCTGCTTATCTGAACCGTTACCAACTCCCTTTATTGCAAAGTAGGAGTATGCACTAACCTGAAGAGGAATTATCATTCAGCTTTCCAACATGGAATATAACTTCCAATATAACTTCCAAGCCGACCTCCATTTATTAATTCTTGACCACAACATTAAAGGTGAAAACCAGATGAACTTATCGACAGACATTGAAAATGTAGATAGAAGATTTACCAAAGGTAGTTGATGTGACAATTTGCTATGTGGCTGACATAGATTTAGAGAATCTACAGCTAAATCTGGATGTGTTGGTTCCACCTTCCCCCTAGCAAGGAGATGATGTGGGGCACTGCAACAACGTTCAATTACTAAGATAATTGTGCAGATCTTTGACATAACCATATGATGCTATTCGACAATAAGTGCAAATAAAGAACTACGCAGAAAACAAACCTTCCAGGAACAGAATTAAAATCCCCACAGACCAACATTGGAATATCTGCACTAACAGCTATTTTCTCCAGTCCTTTCAATAAAGTATGCACCTAGTTTCCAGAATGTTAAACCAAACCAGTCATAATCAAGGAGAGAAAAGAAAAAAGAAGGAAAATACAATATAGTATAATGAAAATCAAACTACCTGCCAGAGTTTGACATCTTTTAAATCTTGATTCCCATTAATATGCGTATTAGCCTAATAAACAGAAATAGGAAACGTTAGCGAACACTGGAATCTAAGCAGGAGAAAAGGAGTAAGGAGACTGCAAGTCTGGCTCCCCCAACAACTGCAAATCACAGAAAAACAACGAAAAGAATCCAACTCTATGACTCTGCTTGTAGAGTAGCATATCAAATATGCACGGTCGAAATTTCGAAACAGAAACCAAAAGTGTCCAGAAACAATCAAAACCCACGAGGGTGTCTAAGAATACCGAACATATTCTAGGCTTTGGACATAGAATAACCCACTAAGTTCACAGAAAAATAGATTTTCCATGATGCATCAGAAAAGGCAAGCATGACACACTGCTGCATACTTAGCAGTCCTAAAAGAAAAACCTTTGGAAAGAAAAAATAGACTTTAGATATCAGACCACAGAAACATTAAACAAACACTCCAGAATTCTTACCACGCAAACAAGCTGCCTTTTTCCTGGATTATCAACCGTTGGAGTGCTGAATTTTGATTCAAGAACTACGATAAGTGCAACATCATCCTAACAATCCATGCAGCACAAACTTACATATTAATTCACAACAAGCTTTGCAGTCAAAATGCATGGCTAAGAGGTGGGAAATAAGCACCAAGCTAAACCTTGATTAATCTGTTTAAAGCATTTCTCTTTTGAGCAGTTAAAATAGTAGCTGGGTCAGTCAAAGATTGTGCAGCTTTGTTGAACTCAACCTGCAAACAAGCCAAAATACATTTAGGACGCAGCAACACACAGAATGTAAAAAGATAAAGACACTTCCTAACCTCATATTTTTTGACATGTGCAAATCTATCTCTACGAAAAAATGTTGCACAGCCATCAATTGTTTGAATGTTCCCATTGTAGACCTGAAAAAGATAAATACATAGGATGAGAATAGACAGACCTTCAAATTGAATATAAATATTATATATAGGGAATATACAAATGAAAAGTGTGAAATCAACCTCATTGGTTTTTCTCTTGTAAAGTGCTTGATAACCATGTTTGTCAAGTTCAGGAGCAAAAAATTCCAGAAAGTGATCGCTCTGAACCTGTTTAGAAAAGATGAATATCTTGTAAACTGCTTCATACACGAACATTCAATATTTAAACTAAAAGAAAGTTGGAGAAAATTCCCAATTTTTCACAATGTTGTGAAGTTCACAAAGTCAACACTTCAGAAATAATAAACAAGAAAGAGAACGTTTTAAAATTTTGCTCTTTTATAGTTTCCTTGGACCTATCTATTCCATCTCTCATTATTTGGGATACTACTCATCTCTTTGAGCTGACAATAGAAATATTTTTTAGTGTCATCTTTTTTTATATAATTAGAAGGCATCCTCTATATCATTCAAATTGCACAATTGAATGTCTAATGAGCCTTACTGACACGTGTGATCAATAATCAATAAACATTTGCTCGACACTCCACCTTCGTCACATATTCCATACATCACAGAAAATTAACACGTGCTGTGGCCTAGATTGTTTTAGTCAGTATGACAAATCTTTTTAAAGAAATTTACAAAATTAATACAAAATGAAACATGCTTATAAATAATAAAGTTATAACCAAAATAAGTAAATACTGACATTGGTTAAAAAAAACATAAGTTTACATTTTAGACATCATAACCGCACCAGATCTCTTACAAAATTTAACAAAATCAATGCCAAATGAAGAATTCTTACGGACAATGAACTTATGATCATGTAAATACACAACTCAGTTTAGTTAAAAGAATCACTTTGAAATCCATACCAACACCAAATGGAGGTCTCAGAGTACTGCAGCTAGTACCCAAATATCATATTTATGTATTTTCATCTACCAAACGTGTTTTATTAAAATGTAGTCAAATTTCTTCAAAAATATTTACTGCATTCTTTATCGACTTTAAAGTAGATATCCGGTATTGCAAGGATCTGAAAATTTATAATGCTTAGAAAGTTTCATTCTTAACAGAGCAAACTTCTTGAATTTTAACATATGCCACCAACGCAACTATAGAAAAAATTATATTTGTACACAAACATGAGGACAGAGTGATGCGTACCTCCTGAAGACAAATTATATCGGCACGATAGCCAACTATTTCCCTTAGCAGATTTTGTCGCCGATATGGCCATGAAAGGGCCCATGAAGGGCAATAACTGAATGTTTCACTTGTGGCATAAACATCAGCCAAAATATTGTAGGAAAGCACTGTAAAAGTTCCTGATGATGATACTCGACCATCCAAATCTATCTTTCCCATCGTATCAACCCCATTAACAGGTATTAAGTGACGTGGAGTAGGAGATGGAGCTGGAATGACCCGAGAAGTTGAGACAGTAAGTGGAGATGCCACAGATAACATGGTTTCAACATCAACCACAGCACATTCAAACTTAAGAACGTGGCCAATATCTTCAGCCGTTGGTGTGTAACTCTTACAGCGTCCAACTTCTAACCAAGTTTCCACACCAGTCTTTTGGGTAACAGCTGCAGGATACAATGTTGTTGAACCATTGAGCATGCTAGAAGAGCTGGGGTTGATGGCACCAGGTGCTGCATTATTATTATTGTTATGACGTCCAAATAACTCTTCCTCTTCATTACTATTTTCATTCATAGCACTAGCAGCACGGTCATGTAGAACACGATGATGCTGCCAAGAATCAGAAAAGCATTTGGTGGTGCAATGATAACTTTTAAAAGCAGGAATTTTGGCTTTAACACAACCTAAACATTGTAAAGTGGCTTGCTCAGAAGGATGTACACTACAAACAGCAACTTTTTTATCACTTTGTAAGCGATACCTGAAAACAATTTATGTAATAAGTTTAACATCAGCAGCATCATTTTGAAAACAGATATCGAACCAAGGTAATTTCAAATATCTACATAGAAAAGAAAAATAGATCTCGCAGAAAAGTAAATAATTGGATTTTCAAACAGTAGTAACATTTAAGGGCTACATTCTTCTGCGCAGAGATTAAAAATAATAAAATAAAATAAGAACATATTAGCTTAAGGCTAAGGCTTTTATTCCATCCAAGGTTCAAATCTCCACCTCTACTTGGACCTTTGTATAAATTTACTAATCATTTCTTTCCAAAATCCCTAGAATCTAGCATGAAAGAACAGTTGAAGGATTCATCTCTATCTCATTTTCCTTTACAGTCTTAATTTCTTACTCCCCGTCGTCTCCATGATTGAAGCCGCCACTCCCTCCTGAGCTACATTATGCCTTCCCCCAACCTCCCACCTCTATTTTTTTCATTCATCAAACTAAGAGATGTAGCTTTTTATGAGGAAACTCCATCCACTTATGGACAAAAGTTCAACAAATTTCTGACAACCAAAGCTTGATTTAGATATCATAAATTACATTTTTTTTGTTCCAAAAATTCTTGAAACTACTCTAGTCACTATGATCGAATCCAACCTAGCATGAAGTCCCATTATTTACTCATTACAACTTTATGCTAGTTGCCACAAAACATCGGATTGTAAAAGGATCCACCATAACCTCTTAGCAAAGAGAGTTGATTTTCCAAGCATTAAATTTTCAATCTCCAACACACCTTCTTCGTTAGCATTCCAAATGACTAAAAAACAAACAAAAGACAGTAACACCTTCGAACACGTATAAAAATACCAATTCAATAGAAAATAATATTTAGTATCTTAATAAAAAAACAGATAATTTCATACAAATTAATCTCTAATTCATAAATAATGGTCATGGCCATCTTTTTCCTTAAAACAGGAAGCCAATAGAAAGAACAGCAGAAAACTAGTTTGAAATGCTAATCAAGCTAGCAAAAAACCAGAAAAAAAAAATGCAGCCATTGCGGTTCATGTCAATTTACAATAAAAGCTGTTTCAAGAATAGACCTAAACAACTTCGAACTTCTAAAAAACAATCACTAAACCGTAACCACATCCAATTGAAGTACCATGACCGTGAAGTAGTAAACAACCAATAAACGACAGTAACCACAGACTGAAAACCAATTCAAATTACGCAACAGACTACTCAAACTTACCATCTGTATCTCAGGAATTGACCGCCAAGTGCAGCGGACTCAGAAACATCATCAGTGCTAATGTTCTTATCAGGCCGTCGATGGAGCACGTAGGGCGTGAGTTCGCAACCTACAATAGGAATATCAGAGGGCAGGTGCACGCGTACCACGTTCAGCATGCTTCAATCTCGTCAATCGTCACAGCACGGCAAGTCTACGAGCGCGAATCGAACGCAACAAAAAACAATAACAACAAGAACAGGAACACTCGCAGCTTTACGTATATCACAAAAGGCGGAGAGATGGCGGATACCTGGCGGATCCGCCATTTACACTCGGCGAAAAACCGCCAGAGTTCAGCTACTAAACTGCAGGTTCAAAAATCAGAAAATCGCAGAGATCTTGAAAGGAGGAGATTGAGGAAGTAGAACAGTGAGGGAAGTGAAACAGATCGGCCAAATGGAATCGGAAAAATGGAGAATCGGAGAGAGAGAGAGAAGAACGGAGGAAGAACAAAGGATCGTTGATTAGGGTTTTACAGAGAGGAAGCGCCAAAATTTTGGAGTTTTTTCTCTCCTTTTTCCGATTTTAATGCCTTTGAAAGTGAAGAGACCGAGAGCGAGAGAAGACCTGGAGACGGGGCGCAGAGGAAGAAGGGTTTTTATAGTACCACTCTTCTGTTCTTTCTATTTATCCTCTTAATTTTTGTATTATTGCTAATTTTCTTCTCCTTATTTTTTCAAAAAAATTAAAATTTTAAAAATAAAAATTAAATAAATAAATAAAAACTTTTCTAAATTCTTAAACTTTTAATTACGTGTCTAACACGAAAGGTATCTGCAAAGTAAACGTGCATCAGTATATCATTTTACTAAATGCGTTTTAATTCCAAAGTCAGTATACAGGTTCGAGCTACGGGTACTGAGAACTATAGTGAGCATAAATCATAGTAACTAGGTTGTTAATTTTACTCGTACTGTGATCTTCGACAAATATTACGTCAAGAAGTTTCCTATGTAGAGATATCTGTAGCAAACTCTCATTTTTTGTGTTCGTTTTCTGTAGGTAAACATTGGAGATCTTTTGTTCGTGTTTTAGTCCAATATCTTCGTATTTCTATAGTACTCAAAACGAATAGTCTATAACATTGTATGTATATGAACTTAAAATCAAAACCCTAACTCGAGAACCCTAATTGGGTCATTTGAACCCGTTTGTGAAAAACCTGAATTATGGTCAATATTTGTTGACGTTACTGTAAAGAATGCTCGATTAGATGTCAAGATGTTGGTATCATATAAGGTCTGACACATTGAAGTGTTTACCTAAGATTAGTTGGGTCATATATCGTTTGATGAACCTCGTGAAGAACATGCTTCTAATAGTCGGAACGATGAAAAGATGAGATTCGTATAGACTAGTTTGTCGTGTGAGAGCTAGGGTTGATATGGGTGTTCGTGGGTCGGGTCGGGTTGCGACAACCAACTCGAGCTCATATCCAATGGCACAAATGATCGATCTCGTAGCATTTATATTTTTTGAAAATGGGGTTTGAGACCGTTTTGGAAAGCATTTATATGCTAACAAATATAATTAATGATAACAACAACATTGATAAGAAATAATCTCAATATGGAGATTTGACAACTACTCGAACATCGAGAGGTAAATTGTCTTTAACAAGAGTAAACATCAAAAGAGGTAACAAGTTACATGCCATAAAAAAATACATGGAAAGTAAATAAATACGCTCCATGAATGGAAAGTAAGAAGAGCGTGAAATGTCGTGCAGTCATAGTCAACATATCTTACGACATCCTCTCCCACTTAATTGGTTGTCATCTCCATAAACCGACTTTACTCAAACTTAGCAATCTGAATAATGGCCGACCTCAAATCCGAGACACTCTTAGTTGATCTCTACATTAAGGAGTCCGTTTCATTTCACAAAAGGCGAGCACTTGTCTTCTAGGTTTGCCAGCTAACCATGTCTCCTCGGCTAAGAACTTTTCGACTTCTTTCTCGACGGTATTCTTCAGTATGAAATTAGGTTTAGATGTCTTGCCAACTTGATAAGCATTTGGTCGCCGATTTGGAAATCCGAAGAACGTTACTTTTAATCAACCCACATTTTCAAACGTTTTGATATCTTCTCCAAACATACGAGGTTTTCTCGGATGTTTGTTTTTACACTTGTGTGAAGTGGTATGCTCGAGAATATATTTTTACACGGGTGGTCAACAACCTGTGGCATATGCTCCACGCTTGAATAACTCTAACAATTTTTTTTAACTCTGGGATAATAAAAAAAAAAAAAAATCTATAAAAAAACAAATTATTGAGGTATTTATTTATTTATTTATTGAAATTTATGAATTTTAAAATATTTAATTATTCCGTGCATAATAGTTCATTATACATAATACGAATTTGAGAAAATCTAGCCTAAATTGAACAAAAAATTAGAGAGAAAAAAAAGGGGAAAATTTTGAGCTTTGATCCATTTGCCACAGAACGGCCCACTTTCGTTCGGCCCACTTTCGTTCGGCCCATTAAAAGAAAAGCCCTCAAACCCTAACTGCGGCATTATATAAATACATAAAACCTAGGGTTTCCTTCATTTGTGAGAGTGTGAGGGAAGAGTTTTATCCTGCTGAGAGGGAAAGATGCCGGCTGGCCATGGACTTCGCTCTCGTACAAGAGACCTCTTCGCCAGGCCCTTCAGGAAGAAGGGTTACATTGCCCTCACTACATACCTGAGGACCTACAAGATTGGCGACTATGTCGACATCAAGGTTAATGGCGCCATCCATAAAGGTATGCCTCACAAGTTCTATCATGGCCGCACTGGTCGTGTGTGGAACGTTACCAAGCGCGCCATCGGCGTGGAGATTAACAAGCAGGTTCGTTCGATTTCCGATTCCTTTCATTTTTCGATTAATTCTGTTTTCGTTTTTTTTATTATATCTGTTCTTGTTTTGGAAATGTTTAAAATTTTAGTGTTCTAGGTCTCGGGTTGTGTTTGATTTGGGTAGTAACTTGTTTAGGTTTAATCTGGATAAGTTGTGGACTCTGTTCTGTTTATATTTCGCTGGTTTTTATTGATTTGATCTTGGGATGTGGAACATGTATCCGTTAATTTTTATAGCAAATCACTTGGTGAATGTTTTTGTAGTTGCGCGGTTTCAGATTGTCGAATGCTAACTATATTTCTTTGACGTTGCTTGAAATTGACATTATATTTTAGTTGTCACATATGTTTGAAGCAAGTTTTGTATGTATCTCTGCCAAGTGTTGTGTTCATGAATCGATTTGGATTCAGGACTGCTAAATCATGCTGTAACTCAAATTTCTCGAGTTTGATTCGAGCAATAAACATCCGCTTGTTTCCTGATACTTCTCAATAAAATTTGCAGGTGGGTAACAGAATAATTAAGAAGCGGATTCATGTACGTGTTGAGCATGTCCAACCCTCTAGATGCGCAGAAGAATTCGTACTGCGAAAGGTTAAGAATGATCAACTGAAGGCCGACGCCAAGGCTAAAGGTGAAGTCATTTGCACAAAGAGGCAGCCAGAAGGCCCCAAGCCAGGGTTTATGGTTGAAGGTGCATTGATGGAGACAGTTACTCCAATTCCCTACGATGTCGTCAATGATCTTAAGGGAGGTTATTAGAATTATCTTCATTGAACTTGCTTTGTTTGGCTGGTTTTTGTTTTGGTCTATGAACTTATTGGATAGTGTTACAATTTTCTCTTTATGCACCTAAATTTTGGAAACGAATCTTATCTGTTAAATTGTTTCTTAATTTTCTGGATCTGCCATAGCCTTTGATACATGAGTGTAGTTTCAGCTGATTATTCCATTTGTTTTGATGCATTTGGTTCTCGCTAATGCCTTAAATCTTTTGCATGTCCATGAATCATTTTGCTTCGTAGTTGAAGATTGACAATGCCTTTCCTTGTGTTCATTCTTAGATGTTTAGTTATAATTTCATTTTGGTTGCCCTATATTTTTAAAACGTCCAATATTAGCGGCTTTAAATTGGACTCAGCTTATTCTTACTTTTTTTCAAAAATAAAATTAGGGCTCCTTTTATAAATTTTGGAAATTCATATTTTGTTTTTTCATACCTTAAAATATAATTATTTCGTTCATATTAAGTTGTATTTTACATTTGTGGTTAATGAAATCTAAGGCTTTTAGTTTTTGAAAATGAACTCAAAATTTTCTAACTATTAATTTTGTTTTCCTTATAAAACTTTTGTTTTTAAATGGTTAAAATATAAAATTGATGGTAGAGAAAATATAAATAAATAAGCAATTTAAAAATATAAATCTATAAATTTTATCTTATCTAATACGTTTGTGGGTGAGCATTGTTTCATATATTGGATGGTGAAGTTTGTATCAATGTTTTTAATCGAATGAGCAATGTTTTTTTTTGAGTAATAATCTAAAAAATAATCTAATACTTTTGAGGTTTTTAAAATGGCTAGAGAGAGATTCTTAAGTATTTCATTATCTTCTCTAATCAATGTGGAATCTTACAATTCACTCGCTTCATACCTTGCTCAGTGTTTTGCCGTCACTCGTTTCTATCTCTAATTGATGTGAGATCTCATAATTCACCTCTTTGGTGACCGAACGCCCTCCCTAGCGCTCGTTTCTCCCATCGTTTAATGTTAAATGGATTGAGTTCATCTTGAGTTATAACTTTGAGTTCATCTTTCAGCGTTAAATGGATTGAGTTCACTAGTTCATCTTGAATTGTAACTTTGGATATTATTTGCTAGTCCTGGTGAAGTTAACCTCCTATTTTTGTTTTTGGGTTGGATTGTTTGAGCTTTTCTTTTGTTATTTTTTTTATTTTTTTAAATTTTACCTACTTACAATATCATTAAAATTAGTTACAAACTAAAGATTGTAAAAAAAAAAAAAAAACTAACTGCAAACTAAATAAAAAATTAGAGATAGTTAATTTGAATTAAAAAAAAAAATAAAATTTAAGATATAATTTGATTTTTAGTCTTTTAAAATTTTAGGAGGAGGTGGAAGGCAAGTTAAAGGAAAAATCAACCTTTAAAATTAAGCAAAATTCTTTTTTTCTTTTTTTCTTTTTTCCATTTTGCCAATTATACCCTCGTCTTCTTAACGCGCCGTTGGATTTAGCCCAATTTTGTCTGCTCCAGTCATTACTCAAAACCTAAGACTAAACCAGAGAATTTGTTGCGGAACCAAACGAAAATCTCCCGAGCGAGTTTCAATTCACTATGGGTACTAGAGAGGTCTACGAACAGAAGCTAAGAAGGGGCAATCTCTACCATGAACCCACCATGAATCCAGGCCTCGGATCCCCTCGTTGTCCTCGCTGTTTCTCTCTTCTTAAACCCGATCCTGTATTTTTCTCCTCCTCTTCTATTTTAATCAGCATCTTATAGTTTCTATTCTGGAATTCATGTTTGATTTTGGCGTGTTTTCTGCTGTTGATTCAGGATACAAGTGAATGGGCCATAAATCCTGTTCTCCATAGTACCACCGCAGTGGTGAGTTCCTCCTCTCTTTCTAATTTTCCCTTTTTGATTTCTTCTTGAAATTTTTTAATGCTTCTAGGTTTTTGATTCTCCAGCGATAAATTTGTACTCTATGTTGTGTTCTGTAAGTTAATCTGCTGTTGGATAGTTGATGAACGTTTCTGGATCAACAATTTCGAAGTTGAATTCTATCCATTTCCTCCTATTATCAATTGGATTATCGTAAAAGATAATAGGAAAGAAGTTTATGAATGCTTTTGTCATAAACATTGTAGTTTCCATGGCTTTTGCATATTCTTATACTGCCTTGTTCGACAGGCAGGATCAGGTCTTGGAGGGTTGCTTAGTGCAGTTCATGCTTTCAATACGGGTAATCATAATGAACTTTCATAAATGTTTCATTTGATTTTCACAATTGCTTATCGTTTACTTTCATTACAGGGATCCCACACCTTCAAAATCATGTCAAGGGACCAAAGTGGCTTCCCTTTTTAATTGGGGTATGCCTTCTTATTAAATTATGAAGTTGATTTTGTTTTTGTTGCTAATTATCATTGGAGTTGCGTGGATTACTTGATTCTTGTGAGTTGTGTTCCATCAACTGTTTACATGACTTCCTTGTCTCTTTGTTGATAGGTGCCTGTCCTGTTATTGTGTTCTGGTGCCGGTGCTGCATTTGGAGGTATGTTAGCAGATTGTCTTTGCTTATTCTCTCTTTGAGAAAACATTGATGTTTCTTTGGTCGGTTGTTTTTCATTTATTTTAAAACAAAAAATTGATTACTGCGTTGAAATACATGAATAAGGGAAGGATTAGAACCTACCTAGGAACTTTGAATATGCCTCTCCACCTGAAAACTGGAAAAGAAGCTTGGAATTCCATCACTCTATCATGGGGCCTTGGCTTCATCAGGTTTTTATCTTTTTGATGGTTGACCTTTTGTCTTAGAGATGATTTAGTGAATTTGTGACTCTCAAGTGAAAAGAATGTTTGCCCACTAACTAGATGCTCGTTCGCGTATCACTCGTACTTGGGTGACATGCCTTCTACAACTGTCACCTTAAAGTGAATGAGAAGGTTGTCGTGTCTGAATCCATTTTACCTCTTCAAAACTGTAACAGCCCTAGCCCACCGCTAGCCGATATTGTCCTCTTTCGGTTTTCCCTTTCGGTTTTCCCTTTCGGGCTTTCCTCAAGGTTTTTAAAATGCGTATGCTAGGGAGAGGTTTCCACACTCTTATAAAGAATGCTCGTTCCCCTCTCCAATCGATGTGGGATCTCACAGTCCACCCCCCTTCGGGGCCCAGCATCCTCGCTGGCACACCGCTCGGTGTCTGATTTTGATACCATTTGTAACAGCCCAAGTTCACCGCTAGCAGATATTGCCCTTTTTGGGCTTCCCCCTTTCAAGCTTCCCCTTAAGGTTTTTAAAATGTGTAGGCTAGAGAGAGGTTTTCACACCCTGTAAAAAATCCTTCATTCCCCTCTCTAACCGATGTGGGATCTCACAATCCACCCACCTTCGGGGCTTAGTGTCCTCGTTGGTACGCCGCCTGGAGTCCACCCCCTTCGGGGCTTAGCATCCTTGTGGCATACTGTCCAGTCTCTGACTCTGATATCATTTGTAACAGCTAAAGCCCACCGCTAGCAGATATTGTCCTCTTTGGGCTTTTCCTTTCGGGTTTCCCCTCAAGATTTTTAAAACGCGTATGCTATGGAGAGGTTTCCACACCTTTATAAAGAATGTTTCGTTCCCCTTTCCAACCGATGTGGGATCTCACAAAAACACTAATGATAGGTCAAATACATTAGTTGCACCGCGCTAACATGTTAGTATTTTCTGATGCAAGTACATACGAATGAGTTTAGAATGAGACACTAACACATTGAGTAGTCTTCCTCCTTCCTTTTTCAGCCCAATGAAAACAAAATCATTATATTAGGATGATTATAATGAAAGAAAGATTTCATGCCATTACCATAAAACTTGTTTAATTTTTAATCTCACTAGTATCACCGTAGTTGAGCAAAAGAAAAATCCATTGATTTGTAAATCAATGAAACTTTAACTCACACATCAAATCATTTTTTAAGACACTAATCAATTTCTTTGTTGCTTATTAACTGTGCAGGTTTTGTTCTTCCAAGATTTACTCAACTCACTGTAACATCCTACTATGCCACCTCCAGTGCTTCCCATTATGGAGTTTCGCTTCTCACTCGAAGAATTGAAGAGAATCACATGTCTCGAACTCGGGCTCAATGATTTTCACAGGTCATGCAATTTCAAGTAAGCAATCTCCTTTCCTTTTCCTTTTTTTCTGCTGGAAATTTTGCAAAATTATGTTTGGCTGTAGATTTAGAACGTCTGATTTGTGCTTGCTTTTGGTAAGACACCTTATCATATATGTAAATTGCAGAGAGTATCCGTTTAGATACATAATGTGCAAATAATCATAACGTTATTGATTACAGTTGTGCGACTTCCAGCCACCAAGGCTGTTGAGAATTTTGTATAATGTTATTGACAATCATGAAAATTTACAGCGGTAATGCTATGTGTAGTAGTTTATTGAAAGCCATTTCTGCAACGGTGATGGATGATTGGCTTTTTGGAGCACAAGCTGGGTCTCACAAGTTTATGCAGTAGTTTACAGTTGTGCAACTAATGTATTTGACCTGCCATTAGTGTTTTTGTGAGATCTCACGTCGGCTGAGGAGTAGAACGAATAAGGGTATGAAAACTTCTTTCTAGTAGACGTGTTTTAAAAGAATCCTGAAAGGGAAGGTCCAAAGAGGATAATATCTCTCTATCTCCGTTCTATTTTTGATGACAATTGGCCTTATTTATTTGTCCACTGCTTACACTAGTGAACGTCTCCTTCTCGATTATACTTACGTCTCTTTTCAATCGTAATAGTGTGAACGATGGAATAGTCCTACACGTGATTGTAGTCTCACAAGTTTATGCAGTAGTTTACAGTTGTGCAACTAATGTATTTGACCTGTCATTAGTATTTTTGTGAGATTTCACGTCGGTTGGGGAGGAGAACGAAATAAAGGTATGAAAACTTTTCCCTAGCATACGTGTTTTAAAGTATTAAGGGGAAGCTCGAAAGGAATCTACCAGCACTGTGCTTGGGCAGTTACAATTTCTCTCTCTATCTTCATTCTATTTCAGACGATGACTGGTCTTATTTATTCGTCCATTGCTTACGCTAGAGAACGTCTCCTCGATTATACGTATGTTGGTGAACGTCTCTTTTCAATCGTGATAGTGTGAACGGTGGAATAGCCCTACACACAACCGTGGTTGTGAGACTATAAAAATGAGGACCCTATTCTACATAGATCTTTTTTGGACCGAGTGAAAGGAACAAGGGCTTTCCGATCTATTCGCTTGACGCCAATTGCCTCAACTCCAAATTAGATCTAAATGTATGCCGATGGAAAGAAAACTCAAGAATGTCAAAATTTGGACCCAAACGTCCAACCATCGCTAAATAATGAACCCAACCTAGTCTAGCCATTATTTTTTTGGGTTTGGTTGATTTGGATTGCTTCGATTATTTATTCAAAATTTTAATTTATTTTCTAATATTTAATTAAGCTCTGTAACTCTAATACTAGTCACTATAGATTAGAGAATAAATAATAAAAATATAAATATGAAATTAAATAAAATAAAAAGAAATATATGTATATTGTAAGCAAAAATATATATCTTAAAACTATATTATTTAAAAATGAAGGCTATCTATCAATTCTTCCGATATAGTCCAAATTAAATTATTGAGGTTTGGAAACCACAAATTATTCATTTCGTTGATGATATGATATTCATTTTTTAAAGTTTAAATGAAAATGACACCATCTTGGATTAGTATTATAAAAATAATTGTCGACTATAAGAATTTGTTCATGAACGAACACTAATCAGATTCATCATACGTTATAGAGTACGAATAGCTATATCATCCATGTTACGTCGGTATACGAATTTATTGGATATTACAAAGTAGGAATCAGAGGGAGAGTTTAAGTTTGGTAATATGAAATTTGAATCCAATTTGTTTACCAAAATCGAACATCTTTCATTATGGGAATTTAAATTTTTAATGCTAAGAAGAAAATAAATTTGAATATGAAAAAAAGAAAGAGCTTCCAAAAATCAACACAAAAAGAAGAAAACCAAAATGTGGGTGAGTTCTTGTTGAGTCACCAATCGCCATATCCGCCAGCCATGAATTTTCAGGCAGCGGGACCATCTGTCCCACCACCGTTCCGCCACTAGCCGCCCCTGCTCCCGCCGCCTTTGGCGGCGAATCTGTCGACGATTTCAGGCTGCACATCCCAGAATCAACCGTTAAATTTGTGCATTTTTTTTTAAAATTTTAAAAAAGCTATTTTGTTCTCGATTTTTAAAATAATTATTTTTATTTCTAAACTTAAAAGGTTATTTATTATAAGCTAAATTAATAAAAAAAAACTATTTTATTTAAAATAATGTTTTTTAAAAAGTTTAATTAATATCTTTTCAACTTTTTAAATTTTTTTTAAGAATACTCTTACGGGTTGAAACTGAGTTTCTATGCCAGTATTAACGTTTTTTATTTTTATAATTTTAAAATAAATTCTAGTAGTCTAGCAATGAAAACTATCTATTCGACCCTTCATAAATTATTTTTAAGTTTTTAATGTAATTTTTTATAAAAAAAATTAAAAAAGTCAAATTGGGTTCTTAAATGGTCCAAATGAATTTTCTTTTAGTGAAATATATATATATATATATATTGAAAATTTAAAGTTACAAAATGGAATTAACTTAAAAAGTTTAAAAAGAATAAAATTCGATTTTTAAAAATGAAAATTAAATAAATTTTCATAACCATAAGCCTATTGAAAATTAATAAGATGTAATAAGAGTTTATCGTGTTCTACCTTGGGGAAGAAGGGCAAAATGTGACAGTATAGTCGGCGCCGGAGCAAGTGAAGGTGCTGGTGGCGTCGTCGTAGGCATAACTATATGACCGAGGACACGCAGATTTAAATATTGTCGAGTATTTCGTTGGCTTACAGGTCGCCGGTGAACCATACGCGCCGCTGCAGCAGTATTCCGGCGTCCCAAACTTTTCACACGCGCTACTACACGCGCCGCCGTTCGCCACCTTAAGCTCGGTTGGACACTGTCTGTTCAAATCCGTCACGCACCCAGTCGACCCACACGCGCCAGTCCCGCCGGTCCCCTCGACAATTATCGGCAAATTGTAGCCATCGACAAGACTAGTGTCGTAGAAGTCCGGCGACATGGCAGAGCCTGACCCGAGAGTGAACTCCACCAGTGTGGCCGGCGGGGCAGCTCCGTTGCCGTTGCACTCAATTTCGCCGGACCCACAATCACCTGTACTACAGGCACCGCGACCGGCGCCGTCGAAGCTGCAGCCAGTTCGACCCCAGAACCGACCGGACCAGGCGGCCGGCGCTTGAAAAGTCCTGGTACCTCCTTTACGAAGCTCGAAACCAGTGGTGTCGAATTTCAAGCTGCCGGCGCCGGAGAGAATTCCTGGCCAGACAGTGAAATCGCACTTATTCACAAACGTAAATTTAGCTCCAAAAGCCCCTAAAAATTCAAAAAAATGAAATGGGTATTACTTAAAATTGAAGAATTCAATACCAAAAAGCTCAAAAATTAACGAACTGAAATTACCAATGCAAATTTGTAGAAGAAAGAACAAGAAAATGGAACAAGAAACAGAGTGATTTCCAAACAAATCCATAAAAAATGGAATCACTTCTCAAAAATTTCACTAATGTTCTTCTGATTTAGCCTTTAATTCTGAGTAATGTGGGATTTTGGGACGACAATGGAAGTGGGTATTTGGATTGGGAGTTGTTTTAAGCTATGGAGGCTCTGTTTTTGTGTATGGAGGGGGGAGTTCTTGCTTATGGGCATGGACACGAGTATAAATATAGAGATATTGTGAACAAAAATGGATGGGGAAAGGGGAAAGTTGCCTTTTTATCTATCCACAATTGTGGGTCCATTGTATTTTGTGGATTGGAATGATATGGAGCAGAGAAAATTGATTTAACCCCGAACAGCTTCATTTGTAGATATTATTGGACGAACACACACGACTCTCCATAATGATATAATATTGTCCACTTTCAGGACAAACTCTCATGGCTTTGCTTTAGGCTTCCCAAAAGGCCACATACCAATAGAGTTAGTATTCTTCACTTATAAACCCATGATCATTCACTAAATTAGTCGACGTGAGACTTTTATCATCCATCCCGGAGAATCTCAGTGTAAGGGGAATGGATAGCAAGCTTTCTCCGATCCTGTCTTATCCCATGATATCATTCCTCCGATCCGTGCATCCACTCATACTCTTGCCAAGTCCTAAGCTGGTCATTCACTAACCTAAGTACCAATCAGTGAACTACAATAATTGTTATTGGTTTCAAATATTTATGATACCGAACAAAATAATTTTTTTTTAGTTACCGTTGATATTTTATCTATTAAATTGAATTAAATATTTTTTTTTTAAAAAAATTTAAACGGGCTTTATGAAGAGTATCTTATTTAACTTAATCTCTCGTTCATACACTCTAAACTACTTGAATATATATAACTTTATTAAAGTCTTAATCAAATACGAGTAGTTAGCATTAAAAAAAATTAGATACTAGAATTTGTCACTTTTATCGTATTAGTTGTCATAATTAAATTTTATAATCGTGATCATTTACATCACACCAACTAGTTAATTGCAACATCCTACCTAATAAGATGATGAAGTCTAAAATAGATAAGATTAATTAGTGATATTTATGAATTAAATTTTAGAAAGCCTTTTATATATTTGAAATAGCTATTTTTTTAATAATAAAAGTACATTTTCTTTGTATTATTTCATTTATAGACTTAATTAGTTTATTATTTAATAATAAATAGTAGCACAACGTCAAACTAACTCACCGCCTAACTCCAACTTAGAACACACTTTTTATATATATATAGGAGAACTGTCATCCTCGGTCGCATCATGACACTTCTCAATCTTGGCATAAATGGCTGGATGAGCACCACCTGAGGGCTGCCTCTGGTATGTCTTGCCTTACTGTTGGGGTCACAACCTACTTTCTCTTAGTGAAGTTGTGACACTTTCCCCCCCACTTAACCTAGACATCGTCTTCGATGAATTTCTTAGGGGCACAATTGTATCGTTGATTGTGACATATAAATATATATAAGACACACTTAAACATTCTCTGACATCAAGATACGAGAAGGATGAAAGCTATTAATTCGATAGCTTTACTCGTCTCACGAGTTACAAAATGAACTTCAATCAAGTTGAGAATTTAGCTGGACAAACTAATTTTCTGATTGTCGTGTCAGGAACAGATTTCTTGTTCGAACTCTAACGAAATGCTTAATAGTAACATGATATTGCGTACTATTGTTCGGATTAATAATCGTGAATCAATTAAAGAAGATATCGATAATTATAATGGAAGCAATCATAATGATCATGATGAACAAAACATTGTGGCTCTTCTCAACCCCACAAAATGGGAAGGTAATAGAAGTTCTTGGAAAGTATGAATTAATAAGAGGAAAAATCTAAATTGGTCATTATTTATGCATACGTGGCAATATATGATTGGTCCTCAAATAACTACCTTTATCTTGACATAAGTATTGTCTCTTTTCGATTGGGCAGATTTGTCTCCAACAAAACATGTCGTAATTCACTATTATATAATAATTTAATAATTAATTAATGGATAAATTACACAAAACAAAGCAAAAATCACGTTTGTAAAAACCCAACCTATCGTAACTCGATCAACTCGAACTATCTAATCTAAATTGGGTT